TCAAAAAAGATTTATTCCACTATTTTCTTAAAAAAACTAACTCCAAGAAAAAATAGGAAATAAAATAGTGAACACAGATATATGTATGACTATTTAAAAGTTATATTAATATTTTATATATTTGTTAAAAGTTCAATTAATATATAAATATTATATGAATTAAAATTTAATTTTATATGTTCTAATTTTTTAATAATAATATGATATGCATTATAAGTTTTTTTAGAAATTTGAATATGATTTTTATTTCAGCTAAACTATTATTAGATATAATATTTTTTGAAAAACAATATGTTGTTTAACAATAATTTCCATGCTCTTAAATTTATATATAATAGTCTATAGTAGCTAGATTATTAACTGCAGTATTTATATAACTATTTTTTAAGGTAATAAAAAAATGGTGAAATACTAAATATGTGCATATAGATATATATACTCCATATGTTTTAACAACTAAATATAAAATTTTTAATAGTAGATACAATAAATAAATAAATAAATAAATAAGAAATGAGAATTTTTTTAAAATTAATTTTTATGGTATTGTTTTGAAATAAAAATTATAATTTTAATAAAGATGCAAATGTATTATATTTCCTATAAATCTGTATTTTAAAAATGGAATAAAAAGGGAAAATGGTGTGATTATTCATACAAAGTGTTGTCTTTTAAAATTTTATTAAAGTTTATATAACCTTTGAAAAAGTAATTAAATAATAAGACATTAAAATATATTTTAAAATGATGAAAGACATATTAATTAGTATAACAATTAGAAGATGAAAAGTTTTATATATACAAATTTATTGTAATTAAATGGAATAATCTTGAATAGTTTTTTAAATAAAAAAATATAATAAATTCCATGTGGACCAATAAAATAATGACAATTTGCCATGTGCATATTCATATTAATACTCTCTTCGTCTCAAATAAAACTTCAGCACACTCATATAATTTGAAATAAGTTGAATTAAAAACAATATTAGCCAAGTAATGCACTTCGTCTCAAAAACATCTCCCCAAACACAATTCCTAAGATAATTAGTTTCTATATGGTTTTGCATTGATGATCTTACAAAATAATAATCATGTCACGGTTGTCACCTTTTATTTTACAAAAGTTTTTGTTCAACTTTTAAATATATATAAAAAATTTGCGCATATTTTCAAAATAATAACTATATCACCATTTTTATAGAATTTTTGGTTTAGTTTATATATATATATATATATATATATATATATATATATATATATATCTATGTATGTATGTATGTATGTATGTATGCATGTATCTGTGTGTATGTATGTATATATACTATTATTGTTGTTATTATTGTTATATATGTGTGTGTCTATATATATATATATATATATATATATATATATATATATATATATATATATATATATATATATATATATATGGATTGACTCTAGTGAGATGACACCTTACGGTGAGATGACATTATACGGCCAAATGACGCAAAGCTCACCACTGCCAACTGCAAAGCTCACCAAGGACAACTACAAAGCTCACCAAACTATAAGGCAAAGTTTACCATATTTTTTCAACACTTTGAATTTTTAAAAAAAAAATCAAAGAAAGGGGTGCTGACTGGGCTTTGACCGTTGACCGAGACCTTTGACCGCCAAACCACCGGTCGCCGGAACCCGCCGCCTGCCATCGCCGAAATTCGCCGTTGGTCGCTGGAATCCGCCGCCGGTTGCCGGCAACCGCCGCCGCTGACCGGTTGTTGACCGGTGTTGCTATTTTATTTTTTATTAATTTTTAATTTTTAAAATTTAAAAAAAGGTGAGTTTTGGTGTTCAAAGTAGTGAGCTTTACTTTATTTCTAGGGCCCATTGGTGAGCTTTGTAGTGTAGTGTGGTGAGCTTTGCGTCATCTCACCGAAGTATGTCATCTCATCATAATGTGTCATCTCACTGGAGTCAATCTCTATATATGTGTGTGTGTGCGCGCGCGCGCGTGTGTGTGTGGGGTCCATAGCATTAGAAAAATATGTGGTCCATATCATTTCTATAATAAAAACCAAACAATGAAAAATGCTAGAAATAAGAAATGAGATGCACCGATTATTCTTATTATTATTACTGTTGTTGTTGTTGTTGTTGTTATTATTATTATTATTATAATTATTAGTATTATTATTATTGTTAATATTTGTGAGCAGCCAACTTAACGCTCCTCGGGTTGGATTTTCTTATTTCAGATGTTGGAGACTAGGGGTGGGTGCGGTCCGTGATACTGCTGGAACCTATCACGGACCGCTCTTATTTAAACGGTTCGGTATCGGTACGGAATGAACTACAAAATCATTCGGTACCATTCCGTTTTGAAACGGAACGGTACAATACCATACCCATGCTCAAACCGTGCCAAAAAACAATTTGAAATCCTTGACAAAATATACGAAGTACTCCTTGATAGATTGAATATAGTAATTTAAGGAGTACAAATTATCCCTGATAATATAAGAACTATATATAGCAACAAAAACTGTTAGGATATAAGAAATATTTCCTGGGCTACAACCACAAACTTGAGCTTTTTGTTGAGTTGGTTCCTTGACATGGTATCGGAGCATTGTTAACTAAAAACACGGATTCAAAACTCGGCGCCACCCAATTTTAGAAATATTAAGGTTTAATGTGTAAGGTTCGAAAAAGACTACGCCTACACGTGAAGGGGTGTTAGGATATAAAAAATATTTCCACAAATTTGAGCTTTTGGTTGAGTTGTTTCCTTGACAAAACTATACTAGCTAGCAAGAGCTCGTTAATTCCGGATGACGCTTACTACTACATACAAATTGGAGTGGAGTGACCTCTTGTAACGGGCAGTTAAATAGGGAGCACGAGAGAATACACAAGGAGAAATATACTCCGTATCAATTAATGAATAGAGGGGGCAAATGAATGACCTTTGGGTTTAAATTGGGCCAAAAGGCTTCAAAAACAACTTTAGAACATTCGAAATACGCTTCAAAAACAACTAATCGAGACTTCAAATCTTTGTTAATATTTTTTTAATACATTCACTGATTGATTGAATTTAAACCGTAACAAATCTTTAAAAAAATATATTTAGTACTGTCATGAGAGAAAAATAGAGCTTGACCTAAAATCTGACCCAACTGATTTAGCCTTCTTTCTTTCATTCGGCCGTGGAATGAGCTCCTCGTCGTCGGAGTCGTCTAGGTTGACTGGGGGCCTTTGTTCCAATGAGCCGATAGTATCATCCGCGTCAACCTCAGCGGAGGATATTTTCTTTGACGATCCGGCTTCCGGGTTGCAGAGTTGCCATTTCAGTGAACGGCTTAAAAGTTTCCATAAATCAATGGGGATCTTGTCTTGGGGTCCATCATCTTGATACCGGAGGGTGACTTGCCGCAGAATGTTGGCATCGTTCATCCCGCTCTTCTTGGACCAGGCACATTCCTCGTACAATCCAATAAGTTTTCAGACTTTTTAATTTATGTGGCTCAATTTGGAAGTGAGTTGGTCTCGGATTTGGTATGAAGGGTCCTTGTTCATTTCGGCAAAAAACTTTTCCTCAATACGATCCTACATCGCATCCCTCGTTTGTGTGTGTGTATGTTTTTTTAAAAAAAAAATGAGAGGGTATTTATAGTTGAAAATTAATTTTTTTTAATTAACCAATGGCCATATTTTGGACTATTTGGGGGTGTTGGTGGCAAGTGGCAACGGCTTTATTTCTTCGCCCCTTCATCGCGTTAAACATTTAACAAATCAGAGATGACGTCTCGATAATGCCACAGGGGGCAATGTTTAACGCTCTCACGGCATTAAACCCGCGATGAGCCTGGGCGTTAGCCGTATTTCCAGTGCTCTTAAAGACTTGTTCTAATGCACTTAAACATTTTATTTCCATTTTCTTCCATTGAATTTAAAAACACAGTGTAATCAATTCAGTAATATGATATCATTTCGTAAGGTTGTCAAAAGAATTTTCATTTCGATTTATTAGGAGTTTTTTATTTAATTTCATTTCTTTTCAAGGGCTCATAAAATGATAATAATATAAAAAATGAAGACAGCCCATCCAAAACTTAAAACCAAGAAAGTCAAAGATAGATGTTGAAGTTGGGAAGGCAGAGCACATATTTCCACCCTATCATCAATTCAAAACCTAATAAACTGCACCAGAAAGATGAAGCCCAACAAACAACTAAACCAGTTGTTCAAAGTCCTTTCTTTTCTTCTTATTATTGGCATATTCCCTACCACACTTGCAAACTATAAATGGCTACTCCCTTCTTAAAAAAACATAAAAATACAAACTTTTTTGTCTATGCAAGACTTGCAACACCATGTTAGAGTTGGACACTCTCAACACCAACATCTTCTTTCTATTTTTATTTAATAATTATTAGTATTATTATATACTTGAATCCCCACCTTCAAGTATGTTAAAGGAAGAACTTTATTTTTACAGAGAGAGAGAGAGAGAGAGAGAGAGAGAGAATAACAGAAATGCAAAAACTGAATCTGTACACATGTCATCATTAATCTGGAAGCCAAAACTTCCCTCACACACATGTTTCTTGAGACTTTCAAGTCCAAAGAAGGCTAATCCTCAAGCCTCACACATTTAGGCAAATCCTACCTTGCATTTTTGCATGAGAATGCTTTCGAGACTCGAACCCATGGCCTCAAGGTTTCACGGCAATGGCTAATGAAAGAAAACCAGAAGAGGGGGTTTATGTAAAATTTACACACCGCGAAAATCAGATGCTTAATTATTCTCCACGAACAACCGAAAATAGTGAGCAAAAAGGAACACAATTTCAAGTAGAAGAGAAAGCGTAAGGTAATGGTTACCTGAGAGGACACCGTATCAATGTCTGTGTGAATATCTGATTTCAAGCTTCTTTATTCATTTGGTAAGATCAATTATAGATTTTGGTTTGAAGATCTTGACTACTAGAGCAGCATTTGTTTGGACAAATTCATGGCCAAAAAATTTATGTGAAGTTCTTGGGAGGTAAATCAGAGAAATATAAGAATATAGTTTTGATAACACTATGCATAACCCATGAAGAAAGCTAGCAGAGAATCTACCAACAATAAATTTAGGAAGAGTACTTAAAGATTGAATTTTTTTTACAAAAACCAACCCTTTCAAAGCTCTTCTAAATTGGGATTTTCAAAACGGGGGATATAAGAGAGAAAGGAATGCAGAAAGGCATATGCAACCAAACATAGAGTCTCATCTATGGACAGCCAACCGAAAGTTCATCTGCATTCAACGCCAACTTCAGCTGCCCGTCTAGGCTTGCTTTTCCTTCGGCTCCCATTTTGTCTGAACCCTACAGACTTTATCAAGTCATCAGTGCTGGTTTGAATCCCCAAACCTTTTTCCTCTTCGGTAGAGTCCCCATTGTCCTTCATTGGAGATGACCGTTTCCTCTTCTTCCCATTCTCAGCAGCTTGATTCTTGGTGTCTTTGCTCAAGATGTTGTTTTTCTTATCGTCACCCTCCCCTTCATCTTCAACATCCTTCTCAACTTCATCTTTTCCCTCTGTTAAATCCTTGGAAGGTTTCTGTGGCCTTCCTCTTCTTCTGGCCGGCGTTATCTTCTCTTCTTCACCACTTCCGAGATCCTCACGCGCAGACAGTTTCTTTCCCTTTCCTCTACCCATAGTGCAGATCCAGAAATTCTATCCATAAATACATATAGCTTTGCATCAGTCTTTGAATGCCAGAAAATGAATACATAAACAGATTAAGGGAGCTATGCAGATATAAAAGCAAACAAAAACATATTTGACCATTCAATGAAACAAGAATCTTCTGCAAATCCTACAGGTGCTAGAGAATTTAACAGGTAAAAAGCAGAGCCAAAGAGCACTATCCGACCATAAATCGAAATCAAAGAATCCCTATATCCAAACTTATCAAGGCAATACAAATCTAGAAAATGGATCACACAATAAGTACTCCGCTTTAAAAAAAAACACTGAAATCCAAGAACATGGAGAGTTCATATAAGTTCATTGAAATTTGGAACTGAAACCCAATAAAACATTGAAAGATTCAATATTTCAATAAACCAACAAGAAAGAGTATAAAAAAAATCAAATCTTTGACGATTCTGGAAACTTGAAAAGAAGAGAAACATACCTATTCACACGAGTCCTGGCCCTGAACAAAGAGTTCGAAATCTTAAACCAACGCAAATATCTCAAAGACTCAAACTATGGGTAAAACCAGTGAAATCTCAATCATCAGAATGCTTATTTTGCATTTAAGCATCAACAGGAGCAGAAGTGAGTATTCTGTGAGTGAAGAGCGGTATTGATTTGAGTGAGAAATAAAGAAAACCAAATCAGAAAGGAAAAGAGAGGGATGGGAGATTTACAGCTTTTGGGCTTTAGATGTGAAGAGATAAAGGTCTACCACAATAACAGCACATTAAGAGGGGGGGGGGATTCAAGAAAAACTGAGCCAGATGAGTCTATGAGGAAGGGGAAAAACATACGGAGTACTTGCAAGTATGAGTGTAGCTAAACGTAAGGGTATGTTTGGAAAAGACAAAACACATGATAATTTCCATTAAATTGTCTCCGTAATTATTATAGAGCTTCTTTGGAAGAGTTTTTTTTACTCTACAAAAATGCTAAATTTAAGAACCAAAATTTAAATTTAATTTTTTTATTTGAGGCTATATTGTTCTTTTGCTAGGTTTAAAAATGACATGTAAGTTTTATGATTTTTTTTTGTGTGCGACTCTAGCATTATTTAAAATTTTGGTTTGACTAAATTTCATTTTACATATATAAAAAAATGAATCATTGTTTAATGGGTTCAGTTTTTCATTATATATATTGAACAAGTTCAGCTAGCCAGCCAAAGTAACGAATCATTATATGAACCTTCTCACACTTTTCATAAGTAAATTAATGATTTTTTTCTTTTTTGCAAAAAATACAATTATTTTATGGTGTCTATACACTACGATCCATAAAAATGAGGGTGGACCTAAAGAAAATATAAGAATTTACTTTAAATAAGTTTATTTATGCATTTCTATAATTAGTTATTTGAGGATTGGATTTGTTATTTGTCACTAAAGAAACATACTTCATTGTTTTTTACTCCATTTGTCCTAATTTAAGTTGATTGTTTATTACTGACAAAATCAAATTTTAACCACATTTTTTACCTATTTTTGCTACCCATTTAATAAAATAATATATTCTTGTTGTTTACTCCCTCCGTCCCACAAAACCTTTCTTGTTTTGAGTTTTAAAAGATTTAAGAGTGTGTTTTAGTATTGACTTTCCAAAAATGTCAATAGATATGATGAGCAAAAATAGAATGTTATGATTAGATTAATAGTGAATAGATGTAATTGTGATAGGTAGATTAAGAATAATAAGAATAAAAGTGACTTTTTAATCAAAATGAAAAAAATTTGCGACAGATGAAAAAAGAAAGAAAAAAGATTTTGTGTATTTTCTACTCCGTATGTCTTACCCTTACTTTAATTTTTTTCTCAAAATAAGAAACTGTGTGGGTTAATATTCGTGAACATACAGATCAAAAAATTAACCAACACAAACAGGGAATGGCAGGAGAACAACCTTCACAAATTTAATGTGGGTTATGGTGTGTATTTATTTTCATTAATAAAGGTGATAATAAGCATAAAAGGACTCCAACATTAATTTTCAATGTACAATACGTAAAGCTGAATGTACATACAGGCCCTAAGAGTACATTCTCAACCACATCAAATCCCTCAACAAAAAAAAGGAAATGTGGTCAGGGAAACAGTGGTGTTGAGTGTTTGAATCATCAAAGTGACCCTTGGAGTCACTTTGGCTGGCTTCTGAGAACTGTTTCATTTGAGAAGATTTTGAAATCTAGAGATATCAAATTTGAAACCTCTTTAAACTTCACCAAACACCTCTCAAGATATCTTAATCTATATGCCAATTGTTCACCAAACAGGCCTTTAGGTTCTACAGAAATACTGCAACAAACAATTTCATCATTTTTGGCCTGTATATATTTCTTTCTTCAACTTTTCCCACATATGAGGGCCACCCGGGTGCGTATTCACATACGTCTTCACGAATACTTTCTCCGAACAAGCTATGAGAGTGCTCAATGCCAAATTGGGGCCCGCTTTCCCTTGCTCACTCAGCCATTTGTACATCGAAAGCCTAAGCATGCTCCTCTTGAGCGCGTACGAAATGTAATTGGGAAACGTGACTAAACACGACACGTCATAGCCCAATGTGTTCTTGAGAAATTCAATCTTTGCCTCTATATGTTCCTTGCTTTGGTTGAGAATGTTAGGAGAAAATCTCACAATTTTCGCCGCATCCTCTGGCTTTAAGCCCGAGTTCACTAAGCAATCGTATCTCTCTTGAAGCTCCAACCCCTTGCCACGAAATGCTTTTAGAGCTTCCTCCATTTGCCTTGAGTTCTCCACGAACCCTAACCTCGACAAAAACTGTGTTTTCATGGCTTTTGATTTGACTTCCTCGTCCTCCTCGGGTGAGGGGAGCGGGTCCACCCTCACTCCTAAACCCCATTTCTTCAAAACATGTGGATCTGTCAAGATCATTTCACGGATCCTCTTCTTCCCGGCTTTTAAGATTGTTAGCAATGTTGTCACTTTCTTCAAAGGGCAAGAACCCAGCAGCACAGCATGCGAACGAACCATGTTGAAAATATCTTGGTTGTCCATTTCAATTTCAACCAAGAAAACATAACCGTTACATAAATTTCTAACAAACTCGGCAACTTTGAACTCCTTATGTTGAAGAAACATCTTCTGTATTTCGTCCCGTCCAAACCCAAATTTCAACAAGAACCCAATCAGTGAAAACGTACTGTGTCCCGATGTATCAAACAAAATCTCTGGATTCTGGCAAACCACATTTCTTAGCTGCTCTTTACAGAAACCTAAATTACCGAGCAAGAACATCACTTCACCCACTCGCCTCCAGTTGAAAGAGTGGGCTTTTGATAGTTGCCCTTGAATCCACCCACACTCAATCCCAATGCTCCTTAACTTCTCCAGAACCCTAAAGAAGTCTCTACTCGCATTCCCTGTCAAAAGATGAGGACTCAAACACACAACCTTAATAACTGTGACCTGATTCAAGCCAAACTCTTCGAAAGACAACAGCTTTGATTTCAGAATTCCAGGCCCGTATCGGAACACCTCTGGGGCACTCTTGTAAATGATTCCTATCTTATTCCGCTCAACACCGTAGCTGCACAGAACTTGATAGTTCTCCATCAATGGCATGTCATCATTCAAGAACATGATGTCCTGAGGCAGAAACACCGAGAACTCAGAAGGGCTCAACCCCACACTCTCAAAGAACGGTTCGAACTCGTTGATGGGATTGTACCGGAGGTGACGCGCTACGGATTGTACAATGTTACCGTCCAGATTCACCTTGCTCAACAAGGATTCAAGAAAACGAGGCGAATTCTTGCTTATATGCTCAGCAACAGTGAAGGGCAAGCTTCTGGTGGTATGCAGGTACTCAGTAAGAGCAGACCGGACCTTTTTCCTAACCGCTGGGAGACTCTTCCCCGGAATTACAACATTCTGTTTCGTTGTATAAGACCTAATCGTCGGAGCTATGTGGGTCGACCCGGAGAAATAAGAAATGCAATTCAGATGAGCAGATGAAAATCTCAGTTTCTGGAAATGGGTCATGGACTACTATTAAGCAAGGCCAGGCCAAACCTGTGGAGAAATCGCGGAGGCTTCGTTTGGGCGGAGCTTTTTTCCAGATGGCGGCGAGATGCTGAGCAGTTAGTGTGGAACGCCCAGACGAGAAGAAGAAGATATGAAAGATCGGTGGAGATGCCGCGGCGAGTTGGACGGGCGTATGGTGGCGATTTTGTTGCAGATGGAGTGTGGAGAGGATTCAGAGGCTCAGAGCAATGATGAAGGCAGGGGGGAACTCCACAGTCCACATTCCAGTCGACCCGACAAGGTAAAACGTTAGGGTTGCTAAAGTTTTTTTTCTAATTGCACGGTCAATAATATGTTATAGAATGAGCATTACAAATTATTTAAGCTTTCCATATATGCGAATGGATTAATATACATTGAAATTGATAAGAAATTTTAAAACTGTTTTTCAAAATTGAAGTGAGAAAGAAAAGATTAAATAACAAATTACTATAACGTTCAAAAGGGATAATTTTTTTTATATAAACTACATTTATTGTAGAGTTTGCGGGTTCACTATTTTCGTCATATATTAATACTTTTAAACCAATACTATTTGTGAATCTTGATGCTACAATACTCTTTTCCTCCTGCCTTCAAAAAACGTTAGTGTACTTCAAATGTACATCATCCCCTCTATTAGACCATTCCCGCATTGGATGGAAGAGAATGGGGGAGGTGAAGTACTTCTCTATGGAAAAGTGGATGGAGAAGTACATCTCCTTAGCAGTCCCCAAGACAAGGAGGGGGGAGTCCTCCGGGGAGAGGAAGAGAAAGAGAAAAATTGGCCATTCACTCCAAGCCATGTGGCAACCTTTTCAATTTTTAATTATATAAATGGGTTGAGTTTAATTTTGTGAATAAGAAATAATAAAATTTTAGTAGTTCTTTTGATGTAAGAAATGAGGAGAAGTAAAGGAGAATTTGTGTATTGGACTCCAAAAAAGATTATGTGGGAAAGAGAAAGAGGAATATTCCTCCCTTTAGTTCAGATGCGGATGCCCTTAGAGCATCGGCATTAGGAGGACTAGTACATGGAGGACTACATCTTACTTCTCTCATCCTCATCAGATTTTGTAGATCCAACTTACAATTCCTCTATTACTTCTCATTTTCTCCTACATCAGACTTTTTTTATTTGTTATACAAAATCATGTGCGTTCTTAAATGTTTTTATAGATATAAAATAATTTATTTTTATTTATTTGAGACAATAGTATCATTTTAAATTTATAAATCGTATATACTCCATATTTTTTACCATTTAAATTTTAAAAATTCTTTCTCCAAATTGTAAAAAAATAAAAAATTATTTAAAATATTTGTTTAGAAATAATTTAATCTTTCTTTAAAAAAAGGAAAAATTATCTCAAATAATCTCACCTTTTCGCGCTCTTTCAAAAATAATCCCACTTTTCACGGTCACCGGAAATAATCCCACCTTTTCGCATGTGTGCGAGTTTTGGGTCACCGTTAAAAAACTAACGGTGACTTAACGGAAATTTTGAAAAATGCCCGTTTTTCGCAAATAAATGAAAGGTGGGATTATTTTAGGTAAATTCTCCCTTTTTCGTTTTTTAATTTCTTTAAATGTATTTTTATTTTATTTTTTTGGGAAAAATACCAAATTTAAGTGTTTTTAGAGTGAAACTAATTGTTTTTTTTCAATAACCAATAATATGGTAATAATTAGAAAATAAATTGTTCTACACAATAGAGCTAATTGAAAATAAATTTTTTCAAGAAGACTCATGTGCGTCGTCTGCATGCGGCGGAGATGCGGATGTTACGATGGATGTGCGGGAAGACAAGGTTGGATAGGATTTCGAATGAGGTTATCTGACGTCAAGTAGGTATGGCACCGGTGGAAGACAAGTTGCGGGAAGCGAGGTTGAGGTGGCTTGGCCATGTGAGACGGCGGGATGCTGACGCCCCTGTACGGAGATGCGAGAGGATTACAGTTATTGGGGGAAGTAGGGGAAGGGGTAGACCTAAGAAGAATTGGGAGGAGGTGATAAGACAGGATTTAGGACTTCTCGACCTGACTGAGGATATGGCCCTAGATAGGAACCTTTGGAGAACTAGGATTAGAGTAGCTGGATAGAAGCTCGGTGTTGTAGAGGTTGTTTTGTAGTGTGTTGTATTTGTTGGGAATCTTTTGCTATTGTTTGTACTTGTTGCTTGTACTTGGTGCCTTATCTGTGCTATACTGTGTTCTCTTCCATATTTTTGTGCAGGTGGAGCCGGGGGTCTCTTGGAAACAGCCTCCCTACTTCCGAGTAGGGGCAAGGTCTGCGTACACACACTCTCCCCAGACCCTACTGTTGTGGGATTCAACTGGGTTGTTGTTGTTGTTGTTGTAACTAACTACTCCCTCCGTTTGGAAAAAGTGTTCCTCTTTTGACTTTATGTAAAAATAAGGAAGTATTAAATTGTAGTTGACTTCCAATTTTGCCCTTGATGTGATAGGTAAAAGTAAGATGTGATGGATAGATTATTAGAGATAAAGTATGATGTGATAGATAGGGTATGAAAAAGTAAAGGTAAAAGTGGTTTTTTAATAGAAAGTGGAAGTATTTTGTTGGAAGGGAAAAAATGAAAGAGGAAGTGTTTTTGATAACGGAGGGAATACATTTTTTTTAAGTTGCATTTACTGTATTTTTCTTGAGCTGCACTTCAAATTATTTTTTGATACTACATTATTATTATTTCTTAAAAAAATGGCACTACAAAACTTATGAATATTTTTTGATAGTTCTACATAAATATTTTTTGTGAAACAACATTACAATAGTTGTGAAAATAACACAACAATTTTTTTCTCTAAAATAGAACTTTTATTTTTATAACTCACTACATTTTTTGATGTATTGCAATTTTTCCATGAACACTCTGAAATTTTTATTGATAATCTTATATTGCAAAAAAAAAAATTTCTAAAATGGAACTACCCAATTTGTGATTTTTTTAATAATTCAATACAAATTTTTCTCCAAAATACTAATTCAAAAGTTGTGAAAATGACACAATATTTTTTTCTCCGAAACGGAACCCATAAATTTTATAAATCACTACAAAATTTGTTAATCGTTAGACAAATCTCTAACAAGAGTGTATTGTTATATTTTTAAAAAATATTAATTTTAAATTCAAAACTAAAAAAGTAAAAAGTAAATTTTTCTAAAATAATTCCACCTTTCATTTATTTTCAAAAAACATGCATTTTCAAAAACTTCCGTTAAGTGGCCGTTAGTTTTTTAACGGTGACCCAAAACTCGCACACATGCGAAAAGGTGGGATTATTTCCGGTGACAGTGAAAAGTGGGATTATATTTGAAAGAGCGCGAAAAAGTGGGATTATTTAAGATAATTTTTCCTTAAAAAAATTAATTTACTTGCAAAAAAAATATTCCGTGGAAGCTTGGGCGGTTGAGCCAAACGGGGCATTTAATTAGAAGAAAAAAAAGGTAGCCACATGGAGTTACCACACTGGACCAATGCTTTATCCTTTTTTTCGTTCTCGGCGGGTAGAAGTTCTTACCACTCATTTTTATTTCTTTATTTTCTTTTTATATTTTACATGCCAAAAGATGTGGCAATGGAGGGGGTGGTGTACATTTGGGTATACTTTTGGTGTATCCCTAGCATCTTTATTATAATTTTCATTATTTTAAAATTATAATAATTTTTGTTTATTTATGCATTTTCATTAGTTATTTGATAAAATAAAATATTCTTGTCACATTCTATTTTGTACAACTTTTGATATAATTTTCAAATATGTAAGTTTTAATGTTTATTTTTATGCAAATCTTTAAATAAAATGAACTGAAAACACTTTATATTTTTCTTTATTTTGTGTAATTTTTAATCCATTGGGGGAGTATGTTTATACATACAAAAATACTTGAATACACCAAATTGTATCTCAATTAAGTTGTATTCTAGTCAATATTTCCAACTAACACATCACTAATCTTTTGCACTTACACACTAACCTAATGGATAGACACTGATACAAAATATTTGTGTGATCACTGAAATTTTACAATGTCATTTTATTTCAGTATGCATGTCATCACGCTGTGCATGTGCAAAATATTATTGCACAACTCAGTGTATACCAAGTGATGTCCAAGTAGCAAAATTGCACGTCTATTGGTGTTGCATGATAGCAACATTTGAGGATAAATAACAAACGTATAGTGTGGAAAAGAATGGTGTGGGCTTTGGTATTTTTTTAGACGTGCATCCCACATCCAAAGTGGATTTAATCTTTTAATATGATTCAACCCAAATGTCTTATTGTCCAATCTAATTGTCCATACTCCATCCTAGATTCTATTAGTATTGCCGATCTAGCCTCGGTGGCGTTCACAAACACCGCCCCTAACACCGGCATCGGCGTAAGCGGCAAAACTGATAAAATTTAGGATTAGATATGGACAACATGATTGGATAGTAAGACACTTGAGTAATCGATTAGTTAGTTCAATTCAAGAGCTTATATACCGATTATTTTTTGCTTTTAACTTCCGACGTGGGATACCACTATCTAGGAAAAAATCATCCCTTGGGACCCTGCGCCTCCTTTTTTTCCTCATACTTGTTGTTCTTCTTCCTTTGCATTTACCACGTGGCCAGCTGGTATGACAACCATATTTCTTCTTGTACTCCATCCGTCCCATAAAGTGTTACCCATTTTGACTAAAGTTGAAATTAAGGGAGTGATAATTTTGTGTTGACTTTCCAAAAATACCCTTGATGTGATGGGTAAAAGTAGGATGTGATGTGTAGATTATTAGGAAAAATGTATGATGTGATAGGTAGGGTTTGAAAAAGTAACGGGTAAAAGTGATTTTTTAATGGAAATGGGTAAGGGATTGTGGGACGCAATTTTTTTGAAACGTGTAAATCTTTTTGGGACGGATGGAGTATTTCATTTTCATCTATCCAGGTTTAGTTTTTAATTTAAATAAAAAAAGTAAATGAAATATTATAAATGTAATATTTAAAAACAAACTTTTAAAAAAGTTTGGGGATAGATGTTCATTTATTCTTATAATAAGTATATTAATCCTTCCAATTTTTCCCTTTCTAACCAATCCAAACAAGAAGAAGCATGTATGTTCTCACTTATTTCCTTTTCTTTTAATTCCTTCCAAATTCTTTCACCTAACCATAGTTCTTGTGTAGAATTTCAGACATGGTCTTTGCAATTAGAGTTAATTTATGCAGTTTCGGTCTTAGGTAATTTATCAACTCGCACGCAAAACTCGAACCTACGAAAATGATCGAAACGTGCCACAAGAAAACCTGGCCCAAAACTTCCTCCGTTCCTTTTTAATTGTTTCTTTTAGTTGACTGCTTAACGTATTTTTTTTACTAATATATTACAATAGATATTATTAGTAAAATATTAAGGTCAAAAAAATTAAAAATCTCACAGTTAAAAAAATAAAATAAAAATGTAAGGATTTTGGACGGACGAAAAAAATTTGAGAAACAATACTTCAAAGGGATGGTGGAATAAAACATGACTATTTATTGATATATGATGATACGAAGGAGTAATATAAGTAAGAAATAAGCTGGATGGGCGCCACTGGAAGCAGATTTATTTAATTAATTAATTAGCTAGAGCACGGAGGTGGTTCCCGTTCCATGGCCGCGGCCGGCAACATCCGGGTTACCAGCTCCGGTGGTGAAAGCCGGGGTCCCTCCGGCAGCGGCAGCCGCCTTGGACGCGGCATTCTGCTCCTTGGCAGTCTGTTTCTCCATCTCCGCTTCCCGTTTCCGTTCATCTTTTCTCTCCGTTGCAATCTCTTTCTGCATCGGATCTCTAGTTGTCATCTTCTCCGCCTATACATATATAATTCATCAGATCAATTTAACTCGATCAACATTATTGTAAATTTTAGACATTTTAGATGTCGGTAGAAATGTTTTATGGGATGCGCAAAAAATGAAACAGGAAAGTCTTTTTGGGACGGAAGGAGTATACCTTTTCCTGAAGGGTGGCCTTAGTCTTTTCCATGCCGGCCTTGGCGGAGGCGGCGGCGTTGGAGGCGGTCTCTTTGGCCGACTGCATTTTCGATTATTATGATCGATGTAATATATATGGATCCAAGTATAATTATATATGTATGTTCTTCAATATAATATAATCGGTTATATGAGCAGTGGTGTGTGTATATATACATGCATGCATGCGGCAATTGATAATATATACTACGTTATGGAGCACCATAAAAGCCACCGCAAACCAAGTGCGAGGCGCCATGTGTACGTACAGCCTTTAAGGGGAGTGGTGTCGTCCTTACCCTTTGACACGTTGATGCCTATAAGCCTACCCACATGTACATCTTTTCCCCATACCCCATATGGCTTGCATAACATATTTACCTCCCATCCTCTTATATCTAGGGATGACAATGGGTCGAGTTCGGTCGGGTTTAACCGTTTGAATATATTGAAATCTGACCCGACTTAGGTCGGGTTCGGGTTTGATTTTGGCGGGTCAGTTTTGGATAGTTATTTTTTCGGTTTCGGATTCGGTTCAAGATTCGGTCGGGTCGATTACGGTCAAATTCGGGTTTGAATACTAATAAAAGTATTCATGAAAATTTTAAGATTGAAATTCATAATAAATTTAAAATTTTAAAGACGACTATAAATTTAAGATATTAACAAAAATAATTATGACCCTTAAAAAATAAATAGTAAGTTTCAAATAATAATAATAGAGGAATTATAAAGAAAATAACATATGTATGACACACAAGTTTAAACCAAAATAAAAATGAAACACAAAAATGCAATAAGTTTTAAAACATTAAAAATATGTACATAAAAAATACATAAAATATAGGAATTTAGGGTTTTAATAACTTATTAAAAGTCGGGTACATGTCGGGTCGGGTACATGTCGGGTCGGTCAAATATACTAACCCAAACCCGACCCAACAAAATTCGGGTTCGGTTTAAAAAATTTCGGGCCGATTTCGGATATTTGATTTTTCGGTTCGGATTTGGATATTACAAACTCCGGTCGAGTCGGTAAAAGTTGGATTCGGGTAGAATTGTCATCCCTACTTATACCAGAAGTATCCTCTTTTCCTCCTCCTCTTATCAAAACAACACTCTTTCCCATAAGGTTGTAACGAATAATTTTGAATCGATTCGTGATTTGTATTCGAAATCAATGATTTGTATTCGAAAAAATAAATGCGAATAAGAATATAAATATTTATTAGAACTCGAAACAAAACGAATACGAATACGAATGTATATGTATTCGATTCGATATGTTAATGAATATAATTGATTTAAATATAGAAATCTATATCCAAGATTTGTCTACACACATCATCTCCAGACCCTACCCTCGTGGAATCTAACTAGGTTGTTGTTGTTGTAGACATGTCATTTTTAGTACCATATTAATTTTGGAATAAGACTAAAATAAAAGTAAAACATTGAAAATATACAAAAATATGAGTTATATATTTTTATTCTCGAAATAAGAGTTAAAATACATTTACAGTGTCAATCATGATCATGTACATTACTAAAAAGTATCGTGAAATGTTTATATGCAGTGTCACATTACGACAGTGAACTCCTAATTTAGAGATAAAATATGGAGTTTATATTTTGATACTTTCTCTATATTTTTTTTCTATTTATGGTGATTTTTTACTAGTTTTTGAAGCCATAAAACGTAAAAAAATCGAAAGTTGTATTTCATAAAAGAATACAAATACGAATCGAACATTTGAATTTAATATCAAATCGAATACGAATAGTAACAATTGTTTGAATAAAAAATGAATATGAATATGAACAATGCTAGCTATTGTTTTTCAAATATGAATAAAACTTCACAATATTCGATTCGATTCGTTCGTTTTACCACCCTACTTTCCCCCTCCGTCTCAAAATGAATTACACGGTTACAATTACGATGTCTCAATATTTTTGTTTTTTGTATGTTTTCATCAATCATTTGATAAAATAAAATATTTTTGTCTTGTCTTATTTTGTAAAATTTTTAATGTAATCTTTTAATATGTAAGTTTTACGGAGGATTTTTTATTTCTATACCAATTTATAAATAAAATAAATTTTAAAAAAATAAGATTTTACACGTTGATCAAAGAGTGTAATTCATTTGGAAAAACGTGGGTAAAGAATATGTAATTCACAATCTTTCTCTTTCTTGTAATCGAATATTACTTTCTCTGTCCTAAAAAAGACCCTTCATTTATTTTTTGTGATGTCCTAATAATTAAAAATAGTTTCCTCTTTCCTTTTTTGAAAAATTTTATGTTGCTCATAGTCTTTCTTTCTCTTCTACATCATTTTCAACCACAAATCTTCACTTTTCGTAAGCTTTATATTTGTGCCAAGTCTAATTAGGAGTCTTTTTTGGGACGAATGGAGTACTCTTAAAAGACTTTCTTCTTTAGGAAGCTATATTTTTGGGTGAATATAAAAAAGGGAGTATAATTTTGTATCAAGAGGTTTGTGAAAGCATTTCTCCATATAGGAAGTAAAATGTTTGCATCAACAATTCATGAAAAGTATGAGTTTGGGCTCTGCGGCCCACTAAAGCTGATGAATGCATAAGTCAGTTTTCAATCCCACACCGGAATACGAAGTAAACAGTATTTAGTTCATATACTCCAGCCTCCCAGATATGAGTCTCCCTTCGAGGACATCCGATAAAATTGGAACGATACAGAGTAGATTAGCATGGCCCCTGCGCAAGGATGACACGCACAAATCGAGAAATGGTCCATATTTTTTTTGTCCGCTAATTTATTTCTTCAATTTTTAGAAAAAAAAGAAACCAAAAATTCATTTAGGCCCCGTTTGGTATATGGAATTCAAACTATGGAATTAGAATTGAGGATTTCAATTTCAATTCTGGTGTTTGGTAGCCACAAAAATTATGTGAATTTGGAATTGATAGTGCAAAAAATGAATTGGAATTGGCAGAATTCAATTCTATGGAATTGAATCCTGTGGAATTTTAATTCCAATTCCGCAACGATATAGAGAAGATTAGCATGGCCCCTGCGCAAGGATGACACGCACAAATCGAGAAATGGTCCAAATTTTTTTTGTCCGCCAATTTATTTCTTCAATTTTTAGAAAAAAAAAGAAACCGGAAATTCATTTAGGCCCCGTTTGGTATATGGAATTCAAACTATGGAATTGGAATTGAGGATTTCAATTTCAATTCTGGTGTTTGGTAGCACAAAAATTATGTGAATTTGGAATTGATAGTGCAAAAAATGAATTGGAATTGGCAGAATTCAATTCTATGGAATTGAATCCAGTGGAATTTCAATTCCAATTCCGTCAATTCCGTATACCAAACAGACCCTTAGTTTTTCTTAGTTGTGTGAGTTTTAAACTTATAAGTTTAGTTCTTAGGCCAAATAGCTCCGGTGCCCTCTGTGGTTTGGAAAATTTGCACCAATACCCCCTCTATTTTCAAAACTTATTTCTAAAGTCCCCGTGGTTTCAAAATGCTGCACCCGTGCCCCCTTTGATCGTTTTCCGGCCATTTTCCGGCAAAGAGGGGGCATTTGCGCATAATTTTCAAACCATAGGGGGTATTCGTGCTCATTTTTTATTTTTCGTTTATTATTTGTATTTTTCTTTTTTTAAATATTTTCTATCTCTTTTTTCTTTTCCTAGTTTTTTTCTAATTTATTTTGAATTTTTTATAATGTTTTAAAATTTTAATTTTTTTTTGAAATAAAAATAAAAATAAAAAAATTAACATACATTGCATCTATTTGAAATTAAACATTTTCACTTTTTGTTACGTACTTATTTGGAAAGTTCAAAAAGAAAAACCTAGAATAAAAAAATAAAAATATGGAAAAATAAAATGAAAAATAAAAATACACAAAAAAAGTCTGATACAATAAATGGACAAGCCCAATATCATGGGAACCAAGGTGGCCTAAAAAAGTCCTTAGAATTGAGATGTTCGAAAAAGATATTCATTTTTATTTTTCTATTATTTTGTTTCTTATTATATTCGTCATTTTTTTGAAATTCTCCAAAAAAAAGTTTACTTTTTTCAGAAAAACAAAAATTGTTGATTTGAGGAGTACATATACATTATATATTAATTTTTCAAACAAAAATAACTTTAAATTTTATGAGCATTATAAACATAATTTAAAAAAACCTTTATTAATAAAAGTAACACATAAAGGAAAAAATGGAAAAAAACAAAAAAAATAAGCGAGAAATAAATATCAGCACCGATACCCCCTGTGGTTTAGTAAATATGCAGCAATGCCCCCCTTCTTCGCCGGAAAAATGGTCGGAAAATGATCGGAGGGGGCACGGGTGCAACATTTTGAAACCACAAGTACTTTAGAAATAAGTTTTGAAAACAGAGGGGGTTTTGGTGCCTATTTTGCAAAGCACGGAGGTACTGGCGCTATTTGGCCTTAGTTCTTATCTACTACATGTTATTACTTTGATTTTATGATTCTATATGGCATTAAATGGTGTTTTGCAGTGAGTTTTGAACCACTATGGATTGGTTGGGTTTGATTGGCTTTGAATTGTTTTTAAACTAGTATTTAATTTACGAATGGATTTAATAATTTGTTTGTGCTTTTCGTAATAATTACTCATGTTCTTACAATTATTTGTGTTAATGTTTGTTTTGTTCTTACCATTATTTGTGTTAATGTCAGATAACTTGTTTCTATTTTTAGTTGTAATGATTATTATGTTTGTTGTGTTCTTTACCATTTTTGTTTTCTTTTGAAATTTTTACACACTTCAATTTTTTTTATATATATTTGTAATTCTTATTTGCACAATTTGGTTTCACTTTTTTTCAGTGTTTAAAAGATGTTAAAAAAGTAAAAATTACTCCATGTGGTTAGCATTTATTTAAAAAAAGAAGTCTAAACACCATATACTCCACATTTTTCTCAAAAAAATGAAAATAGAAAAAGTATAAAAAGTTTGCTTTTTTGAAAATAAATTACTCTCCACTCTCTCAATAATGTTTCATAATTTAAGGGACACATAAATTAAAAAATTGAAATTGTGTCATTGAGAGTAGTGCAGGAGGAAATGAAATGAAATTACTTTCTATGCCCCTAAATGTAGCTCGTCCTTTTTGGCGTGTGAGAAATTTGTTGTAAAAAGTTTCCC